GGTACCAGTTTTGTTTTCCCTTTTAAGTGTCAAAAGAGTTTTTAAAAATGCATCGATATGAGTCCAAATTGGTAACAAAGTATCGGCGTCAGAACTTGGACCTCCACCTACCATCGAGTGGCCGAGGGATCAGAGTCAACGCTTCACTTGACATATTAAACAACTCTCGCTTTCACTGCCACAGTTGCTTGCTGGCTTCACATCGACGCGAAGTATTAACGTATAAGATAGAGAAAAGAACAGTGGTTCATGTAAATGCATGGCAATGCGTCGTCCTCAGAAAGGGGACGGACAAAGCCATCAAAGCTGGTGTTTCTTAAACATCGAGGCAACTTTTTTGGATAGTTATAAAAACAAGTAAGTGTTTGCTTAATTCTCTTGCTGTGTTACAGTTGAAGAAGGCTTGAGTGAGGACAAACCAAAAACTTCCAGCCAGCGCCATTTCACATGCCTGGAGAGCTTCGGCTCACCATCGTCTATATCAAACCTAAAAGGCCATCGAGGAGATGGACCCAAAGTCCGAGGACCAGAGAGTAAAACACACGGTCTTTAATAACTCTAAATTCTCTAAACCGAGTTTAGATCATAGAAGTAAAAGAGTTTTTGCTTAAACAATCGATGAAATGCAATGCAATGCAAATATTAACAATTACGAATTTACTATTTTTTGGGGGTTCTGAAAGGATGTAAAAGTTGGATTTTTGGGTGATAGCACCCATTTCTGCAAAAGGCCTCAAAAATACAGGCTGCTTGATTGTGTGTGTTGGAGTGAATCGCAGGGGCGCATTGAAAGCAGAGGATGAGGAGGTCAATCAGTCACATTACAACGCCAGAATGCTTTGCCTCTGACCTGTCTCCCCCCTTTGAGTGTCCTCCTCGACCTCTGGCGTTCTGCGATGACGGCCACCACATCCGCCATGTGGATGACTTGCGATGCCAAGAGTGGAGTCTTCAACACATTTTGACAACTAAGTCTCCCTATAGTTGGCTCTGGTGGCAAATGTCTGTTTAACCTGACCCACGAGGCATGGCTTTAGTGTTCAAAAAATGTCTCGCGTCTACAATGAGACTACTGAACATGAAGGAAGTAGATTTGCTGCGTCTTCTTGCCTAAGCTAGCGAGAGACTGTCGTGGCTCTGATGGGTCATAACAGAGCCAAGTCATTTTAATAAGCCATTAAGGGAAAGGCTTGATCTACAACTCGCTAACGATTGAAATCTGCTAATAATTTTAAACTTTTTGCCATAACTTTTTTGCATAAATTACTTTGACTTTAGGAAGACGATTGATGTCACATTCAGTCCTCCTTTCTCCTCACCAACAGCCCAATCGGTGATGCAATGCGAACTTTTGCTTTGAGGTAGGAAACAGATTGTTCCACCAAGCTGTGTGACTCATTCATGGAAGCATGGATTGGAGAAGTAGGACCAAGAATAGACCTCGATCTTATACCCTCAAGACTGCCCGTTTAGTTTCACTGAAAATAGGCAAAGCGTGGTTGATAGCCTCGGTTGCTGTTGCCAATGGGACGCAGCGCTGTTAAAAGCTTCGACGATTTGATGGCGGCGAAGACGAACCGAGTGGAAGAGTCCGACACGCAGCACGATGGAGGATGCTGGCGCCTGTGTGAACCGTCTCCAGTGCCCTGAGTTGACTGTATTAGAAGTGGTGTGGACAAGAAATCGACGCTTAGGCCAGCAATCTTCACCGCTCCAATACTGGACACTGCCGTCGACAGTGCTTAGAGTGATCGTTATGCATCTCACTCGAAAGATGAGCCTTTCAAACAGAACGTCAGTGAATGTGTTGATTTGCATAGAGGCCACTCCCCAAATGACTGTAAAGCTCACTGCCTCTAAATTTTGTCATCTACTAGAAGATTTTATGGCCCATCAGGGGAAAATCAAAAGAGTATCGAAAAATGCACAGCATAAATGGGCTCATCCTGTAGAGCGGTGATGAAGGTCTTATCACCTCCACGACGGGCGACTTCTTCGTTGGTTCAAATAATTTGCAGTGGAGTGGCTATTCCGAGTAGACACATCGACTCACCACTTTCTGTTAAGGAAGAGGATTAGTAAGTTAGCCTTAGACAAAACAACACAATCCG